ACCTGCCTCCGCCCTGGGGGGCTCCGCTTGCTGCCCTCGGGGAAGGGCGGGGATGCTGGTGTCCGCGGGAGGATGGGGACGCCTGGGCCGTTTGGGGAGGGGAGTGTGCCCGCTGGGCCTGGGACAGAGGTGCGATCTTCGCCAGCGCGCCCCCCTCCCGTCGCCGTGGGCCCCAAACTTCGCCCTCCACCTGGAGGAGAGCGCGGCAGTTTTGGGGTGGCGGGTGCTTCGGGGTCTGTGTCTACTCTGACCAGGAGGAAGAGGGAGCAGTGACATTCAGCGACTGCGGACAGGGCACGGCGGCGGCATCGTTGGGTGGGAGTGAGGATGTCAGACGCGGGCTGAAAGGGGGGGGCTGCCCCTCAAGATGCCCTCTCCCGAACGCCCCGGCCTTTGAGGAGCTCGTGAGCTGTGAGCTGCGGCCCGAGTACTCTCTTGGGCGTTGCAGCAGATGGCAGAGGTGCTGGGGGGACCAGAGGAGACGGCTAGGGGACCCTCCCCCCTCTCCTCCAGCCGGTGCTGGAAGGAAGGCTGATGGCGAAGTTTGGCTTTCCAGGCTTCCCCTGGGCCCCCCGAGTTCCTGAGGCCCCGATGAGGGAGGCTGGGGGTTTCTCTGGACGCCCAGGCAAGGACTCTGGCGCTGCCCACATGACTCCCAGCGCCCTCCGGACACAAGAAAGTGCCCTTAGTTCTTCCCCTGAGATGGGTGGATGACAGGCAAGGGAGGCGAAAGAAAATAGGAAAAGATAGGCTCAAGAAATGGCTCCTACAGAGTTGAGCGAGAAGTTTCCCTTTCCAGGCGCCATTTCTTTGGGAGGAGGAGAACGATGGCTTTTAAAAAAGAATAGCCAAGTTTCAGACATGGTGCCCTTGATAGAAAACCACCTGTTGACTGAAGTCGGTCAGTGAAGTTAGGGTACTTGGACCCTAATGGTGTGGTACAGAATCTCAGGGAGTGGAGGCTCCAGGCTTCCTATCCAGGTTGACATCTGCCTCTTCAGGCCACTGACACTTTGCAGCTGCACCACCTTCAACTCCCCATTAGAAACCACTGTGCAAAGTAGGTAGGTACTTTGTTAAAGCACCTTATCTCACTTCTTATCTCAAATAAACAAACAAAACAAGCAGCATAGCCCAGTCAGCAAATGCAGAAGATGAGACACACTGCTTCACTTTTCAAAGGTGGTCTGCTACTTTGGGGTGTGAGTTCCCCCACAAGTAAATGCTTCTTGGCAGCTAGGTGAGAAAGAAGCTGAAACAAAGGCCACAGAGATGAATGGAAAGGATAGAAAAAGGGAGAAGGGGAACAGGGAGTTGTAATACTACACTCAAAACTGTCACCATTTCCATTATAAACCCCCTTTTATAGGTGTTTTATTACTTGGTTGTTAGTTTTTAAAACACAAACCTCTCTAGATTAAATCTTGGCATTCAAAGGCTCAGCCCAGGGAAACAAAACACACAAAGTTTAACCATCCGCTTGGCTATTTTTGAACTACATTACTGATTAAAAAAAAAAGTCTGTTTCGGTTTACTCAGAACCTCTCCTGACTTCTTTTAGTGTCTTCAGTAGCTTGCTTAAGGCGAAGTTTTACAAGCCATTAGTTCATAATTCAATCTAGTTCATTTAGATATTTCAAAGAGGGGCATTTATAAGGTGTGCTTTCAGCAGGTGCTGGAATTTTTGGTCTCTAAGAAGTGACTAAGTAAACTTAAGAACTCTAGCAAGCTCTTTTGGCCTTTATGGTATTCTCTCACCTTTGCCCTGTCCCCAATGGTATACCCAGATACATGTTACTTTGTAAATTTTATTTGCATCCTCTAGACTTCATTTATCTCAACCAATTAACCATACCTTTATTTTAAAAGTTTAAAACCCCCAAATCTGTATATTCAAGCTAAAGACATTCTTACAGAAGCCATCAAAACCCCATATTTGCGGTCTTCACCCAGTGAAATTCGGGGGGATATCTAAGTGATAATGTTTATTATCACTAATGAGTTATTCACTCTGATTCTCAGCTCATCAAGAAGTATATAGACAGCTGAGAAATGGATTTTGTTTGCCTGAACGTGTACTACTACAACTCCAGAAGATGCCTTTGAGATTCTGTTCTTGAACAGGAATGTGCAAAGGAAAAGGAATGGTGTTGCTCTCTCATTGATAACTCCCCCTCCAGGGATACTTGTCCTTTGAGAAATCCTAGCTCTTCAGATAAGTGGGACTGGAAAGGATAACAAGAGACACAGCCAGAGATGTTTAAAGCTTACCCCTAAACCTTTCTTATCTGTGGTATCCCTAACCTACAAATAGCTTAAATTGAAACCCAAGTATGGTGCAAATTTTGCAAGCCCAATTACAAATTGAGAGGCTCATCTGACCTAATTCCCGAAAGAATAGTTGCCACCAGTCACACTTCGAAGTGGCTGTAGGCATATCTGTCAGTGGACTCCAAAGGCACTGGTATCAGAATGAACTGAGTGTTTAAAACATGGATTCTTTGGACAGATCCCAGAGATTCCGTGGGCCCATTAAAATAGCCCATGTCTTTACTTGATAACTTATGATCATTGAATTTGAGAATGAATGGCTAGGCTGATTCTTCTAACTAGGAAACATTTCATTTGTTTGTCTTATAAAGCTAGTCTTTAGCACTGGGATGAGTTTGTGTTCTGTCCTGTTTCTCCTGTAGTTCAAAGTAAGAATGAGAAGCTGTACAAAGTAATAGCAGGAACCTAAGAAAGCAAGAGGGATTGATCTTTTGAGCCTGTTTACTTGCTCTAAGTCAGACAGCCTGATAAAAGTTGCCACGTCCACAGACACACTGAGAAGTTCTTAGTTTGAGAAAGGAGACTGTAGCCATGAACTGCAGCCCAGGGTCCAGCCCACAAATGGCATGCATTCTGTTTACATTTATCTAGTCACTTAAGAAACATTGGTCTTTACCTCCCTCCTAGCCGCCACATGAAATCTGGCAATGACTGGAAGATACACCCCAACAAGGTCATAAAATCTAGCGTCTTCAGTTAAAGGATGAGGAGGTGGGGGGAAGGAGATGAGCTGGTAACCATTAGTTTTAGATTAGTTAGCAAAATGGTCTTTGGAGAGGGACATCATGTTTGGGAGAGTGGAGGAACGGCGCAGGAGAGGATGACCCTTGATGAGATAGATCGATTCTGTGAGTGGAGTAATGGGAATGAGTGTGTCTGAGACAGCGAGGTTGGCACAGGATAGAACGGCGTTTAGGGCTCTTGTACATAGGGTCGGTATGAGTCGCAAGCAACTCAGTGGCACATAACAATAACAACATGTATGAATAACCTGAGTTATATCTCATACCAATATTCTACACCTTCACCCTATTCATGCATCCCTAGTGAAAAAATGTTAATATCTTTTAAGTACATTTTGAATCAAGTCTAAACTCTTTTAGTTGACCTTTCTAGCTTCTCCCAGCACCCTGTGCTCATTCAATTCCAGCTTGCTCTTTTTCCCCTACCAGCACATCCTATTCCCTGTTATGCTGAAGACCTTGCAGAAAGTCTTCAATTTCTACTTAATGTCCCTCTATCAAGGTGATTGATTGATGGACATTGCACACAATGCACTTGACCATTCATTCGATGCCTTCATTGACACCCTTGCTGCAGAGAACAGGGTTTGGGGGCTGAGAGTGAGGCCACGAGTTCCACAAACTTCAGTTGCAAAGTTCCAATTGCTGCCAGCTCTCTGAATTTTGTCTGGTCTCTTCCACGTGGCACATAATCTTGAAGCAATGTTACTTATTCAGTTAATATTTGTTGAATTACTGAATAAATAAAAACATGTTTTGCCTGGTTTTTCTGATTAGACCAGGAGCTTTCTTATTGTGTGGATAAGCTTGTTTGTAACTTTCTTAGTGCCTGACATACAGAAGTGATTTTAAGAAGCAAACAGCAGCCA